TTTTTGTCTGTGTGGCCAAAAGTGGTGGCTAATTATTGAATTTGTATAAGAGTGAAATGTCACTTTATTAAAAAGAGGTACAGATAAAGATGCTCTGAAGTACATAATCTCCAGAGAATCTTTGATGCTTTGGGGCTTGCATTTGCTTTTTAGAAGAAAAAAATGCACAAAAAATTAAGTCGGAGAATCAGATGGACCACAAGGATGCATCAGTGTCATATAGGTTTCTTTTAAAAACCGAGTGAATGAATGAGGTCCATTCTGGACCAGACAGTTGTAAGAAAGCAGATGTATCACTTATCAAACTTATCATCTTGGATTCCATACTTACACACTTTTATGTAGGTACATTTTCTCTGCTAGTGTAATAGGGAGCCTTTCCTATATCTCCTGCCTCCAAGGTTATTTTTCTAAGATAGAAGAATCTCAGCACTTGTACACTCTCTTTCCACTTTTGACTTTCTAAACTGGAAGGTGGCTTGGGAGAGAATAGGGGAAAATGAGAGAGGGAACAATCAAGTGTCAAAGAAGAAATGGAATTCCCTCTTGGCACTAGGAGCTCTTGAAATCAAAACACAACCATGATATTTTAGTGCAATAGAATGTTCATGTCTGTTATATTTGTCTTTAAATAATGGAGACATTAGCTTCAGTGCAAGCAGTTTCTGTGCAATTAGGAAACAAGATAAACTCTACAAGCTGTGAACCTATATTAGCAGCTCATAAATGTTCTTTTGCCTGAATAATGACCTCAGAATTATTGGCATTCTAACATTCACATTTATTACACTTCCTTGAGATGTCGACTACCAGCTGCCATAGGTTAGAAAAACCTGTTGATACATTACAGTACAAAGGATTTGAATAATGGATAACTAAAACGACAACCCCATGATTTTTTTTCTCTTATACAGTATTCACCATGAACAGTTTTGACACACAGGCAGGTATTGACATCTTAAACTGCAACTACTTTAAGATAATGCTAAAGACTATACATTCATCAAAGAGGGCATGGGCACATCATTCAAGACGAGATGTCAAAGCTGCATAAACAGGTAGATGAATCACAAATTCAGACTGCAGAAGATCGTTCCCTTATCTGGTGCTCTTTAAGCGTACAGTATAAAACTAAACGTCATGCTGGCAGGGGATGGTGGGGGTTGCAGTCTCATACATAAGGAAGATATCACATAAGGAAAAGGCTCTTACAGAAATCGTGGGTAAAGAAATGAAAGGTGGGAAAATAGATAAGACTATTCGAGAAATGAATTTCTAATTAAGAGCAATTTGGAGCTAACAGAAGAACATTCATAGAAGTTATCTAGTGTGAACGATAAGAACTAGGTCTTTTTGCATCTGAGATTTGACAAAGTACACAACAGATTTACATCATAATCCAGTATGGGCAGTTGCCTTTGTCATGACAGATAAACTTCAGTGGCTTTCCTTGACTCCAAGCTGAAGACTACACCCCAGAGCCTCGCAATCTTAGGCTGAGAGCCAACGGAGGCATACCCACATGTACTAATGTAGGAAAGAGCAGTGCTCACACTTGGGAGGTGTGCTTCCTGTTTTTTCCAGGAGCAAGACACTATTAAAGAAACAATCTGCTGTTCTGAATGAATGGTCCCTGCATCTAGTTTTATAATCTTACAGTACAATCATCTTGGAACTGCAGATCTGGAAGGGACCCTGCAAATCATCAATTCTAGCCCTAGTCAAGGAATTGTACTCCCAGCCTCTGGCTCCGTAGTCAGATACCTAAACAATGGAGCTATCCTTTAAGCTTTAATTTGTTTATAGATTGTTCTTTTTGTATTTCTTTGACACTCACATCTCACCATCCTTAGGAATGTATACCTGCCAAGTCTGGATGATATCAGATGCACCTGATGAAGGTGACTCGACTTCACAGAAGCTAACACCACAATAAATGTATTCATCTTTAAGGTGCTCTATGTTGTTTGAGCATGGTCTTTAGTTTATATAATGCTGCATAAAACATATTCAAGTTCCATCTGCATGGGAGGATTTTCCCCATTCACACAGGAGTTCTGCTCTTTAGTGGGGAAACGCTATGTATGCTGGCATTTCTATGACTCATTGCCACATAATACTGTTAATGAAGAGCATCCCTATGAATTTATATTTTGCAATTAAGTTACATTAAACTGATGATTAAGCATTCAAAATCTTAAACTTTTTATAGTTGAATGTATTCTCGAAGGCTTTCACGGCTGGGATCTGATGGTTGTTGTGGGTTTTTCGGGTTCTTTGGCTGTGTTCTGAAGGTGGTTCTTCCTGATGTTTCGCCAGTCTCTGTGGCCGGCATCTTCAGAGGACTGGAGTAGGAACTCTGTCCTCAAAGACTGGTAAAATGTCAGGAAGAACAACCTTTTTATAGTTGCTTTCAGAAATGCAAATTTAACCCTGGTAGCCTCACTACTATGATAATTATTTGTTGTCAAGTTGATTCTGACTTATGGTGACCCTTTCCAGGGTTTCCTAGATATAAAGTACTCAGAAGTGGCTTTTCATTCCCTTCTTTTGGGGGTGCCCTGCAGCTTGTCTGAGGCTACACAGGGTGGCCATTTTCCGAAAAGGCACAGTGGGGAATCAAGCGCACAACCAGAGGCTCTGTAGCCAAATATCTAATTCACTGACCAACCAGCCAGCTAGGGCCACAAAATATCACACAACAATTAAATTTTGAAAACCAGTATGCAGTGGATAAAATTATCTCGGTTCAAATCCTCACTTGGCCATGGAAAATCACTGAAATGGGTGAGTGTGGTGGCAATGGTAAAAGAGCTCCTTAAATATCTTACATACCTTGAAAACCCTATAAGGGTAACTATATGTCAGATTCAACTTGAGAGCAGGTAACACAACACACTTGGAAATTTGCAGATCTAAACTTAGTTGATCCTACTGGGTCCCACTGACCTCAGTCAGGTTTAACCAGTAGCCAGATACAAGACTGCAAGCTTAGTCTCTGGACAAAATTTACCTATGTTGGTGGAACAAAGAAATGCTTACATTTTTTTTCATCCATCCTGTAAAATAAGCAAATGGGTCAAGGTGTGAAGAGGTTTCTTTTTAATTATTCAGAGACTTGCTGTACATCTAGCTTCCTCCCCTCTAAAAAGGATACCACCACCCTATAGCATAAATGGCTTCTGCAAGGTATCATTTGTGATGCAGCAAGGGAGCAGACACGGACAGGGCTGTTACTCAAGAAACAGAAGATGACACTCCCCCTGGATGTTCAATAACTGAATCATCCTTTAGCACCTAGTTACATTACCCGGTTCTAGTCAATTAGAATAAGGATCACATTTTTAAAAAAGGAATGGGGAACATCAGAATAACTTTGTAAAAAAAGAAAGGAAAGGAAAGAAAACATTTTATAGGTTAAATGAAATATCTGGGGTCCAGAGACTGGTTTTTTCACTGGGGGTTGATTCTGATGTATCAAAAAATAAATACTCAACACAAGTGGCAATGGGGAACATGTCCACTGGACAGAATCATTACAGATGATTAAATAAAATATCCTAGCCTGTCAAGGAGAAACAATGCACAGAAAAGGAGTTTGCATATTAGAGTTAATCCAAATTGCTTGGAGTCCCTAAGCAAATCAAGCTGTTTTCAAAGAACTAGCATTTTGATGTAAAATCAAAATTTGGTCTCTATCAATCAAGTACTAGTGCAGAGTTTGTCCTGTCTGCTATAAAAGCAAGATAATTTGTTTGTACTGTACAGTACTGCAGCATACCACCCTCTTCAGTGATTAGGCAGTAAAAAGAGAAAAAGGAACATTTGACTCAGTTATGCAGATAAATAAATTTTTCTCCTCTTATTCTGGCTGGAAGAGATGACACCATAACAAACCCCAGTTTTGTGGATTAAGGACCACAATTTTTAAAACAGAATGAAGTTGTCTGCAGCAGGTCTGTTACGGGCAAAGCAGACATCCTCCTAAATAAAAATGTAACATTTTTAGCACAGATTTGTGGGAGGTGGTAAAGATAATATCAACACAAATGAGAACAAGTGCATCTTGTGTTACTGAAAATTATTTAGGTATTGCCAGAATACCAAGGAATTAAAACAAAATAAAAGTATTTCTTTAAAAAAGAAAAAATAGCTATGGTGGCTAGAAGTTTCTAGGAGCTATAGTTCCAAACAGAGACATTTTCCAAACTCTGAAAAAAAAATGAGGAAAAGAAGGTAATTTCACTCTTGAAGACGTAAGCTTTTCCTAACCAGGACTGTAACTAAGATGCAGAAATTCGGGCTTTGCCCCACAGCATCAAAATTTAAAAGGTGCCAGAAATCTAGAGGCAAAAATACCAGTGAATGTTGGAAAAATAAACAATACTTCTTAGCCTTATTTTTATTTTTCTGAAAACATGGACTTTTCCTCTTTTTTTGTGTGGAGGGGGAAGGAGCCACATTCTCTTCTCTCTTTTTCATGGGTGGTGGTGGTGGTTTTCATGTCCATGCCTGATGGCAGGGTGCTGGGGGAATGGGGGGGGGGAAGAGAGTGCTGTTACCTCAGGTGCAAAAATTGCTAGCTATGGCTCTGCTCCAGTGTTCATACCATGTAGATGCTAAGCATCTGTACTTGTGTTATGCTGATGCCATGGTTGTCATTGCATGTGAAACCACAGTTTGTATGGAAGTTAGAATGGATGCATAAAAAAAAGAGACAGGGCTATATGCTTCTTCTGGCAAAATGCAGCTTCCAGATGCTGTGGGACTGCCAATCCCAGCATCCTTTGCCATTAGCTATTCTGGCTAGGCCTGATGGGAACTGCAGCCTCATAACATAACATACCCTTGCTTTAATAGTTGTGCATAATTGAAAATTTCAGGAGGTATTGGTTGCGATATAAGTTACACCTGTTGAAATTCTGTTTTGCACACAGCTTCAAAATGTTTAGGAATCCTATCCTCTTTATCATGTAGCTAATCCAGTAAAAGGGCTCCATGAAACATTGTTCAGGCCATTTTACACATGCCAATAACGTATCACATTTGCAGGCAGTTTTACTGCTGCAATTAAGACTTCTCAAATGACACGTTGCTCCCAGTAACAATCAAGTCACCAATGCAAAGACAATAAAAGGTCTGTCTGCATTTTGGTTTAGAGCATTCCTGATCTAGGCCATAAAATTAAAATGCAAGTTAGGAATTACCATCCCAAAGATCACAATTTCTATTTAAAGGGTCCAAGGTGATTCTAAGTTGCCACTTTATTCCTTTCTGAGTGACTGAAATGGCCATTTCTCATATCCATTTAAGTAATTAAGTTATTCTGTCTCCAGAAGTCTTCAAGTCTCAGTCCACCTGTAATGCTAGTACTGTACAGTCAGATCCACTGACTTCACAGACAACAAAATGGCTTAACTCCATGAAAACACGTCTAGATAAGTAATTCTGTCCTCCAGTTCCCCAACTGTAGATTTTAAGTGCTGTTTCCATATGAATAGTAAAAAAAACCCACATGGTTTCCTGAATTCCCATCTCATTAATAAAAGCCTTTGCACAGAGGGGGTGGCGTAACCAGAGACAAAGACAGATAGGTTTCTTGCCCCTCTGAAGAGCCAGAGTTTGGAAGAGTATATTTTTGAATTATAACTTCCAGAATTCTCCCAAACCAACAGGGTCACAGACAGTACTGGTGGTGAAGGCTGGAAAATGCTGGGACTTGTAGTCCAAAACATCACTTCTCCAAACTTTGGGCAAGAGAAGATGTTTGCAGCTCTCATTTGTCATGAGGGAACTTGAGAAGCTTCACTTCCAGACAGTTTGCTTTCCTATACAAGGAGTTCTCATCCTCCTTTGCTTGTTCCCATCACAGCTGGCAAACGGTTTGGGGGTAGCTGTGTTTCAGAATGCAGCTATTGTTCATATGCAGCTTTCTGGCTCATGCCAAATCACCCCTTTGCAACAAAAGAGGACTGTGCACCCTCTCTGAGAAGGAATATTTGCCAAGTTTCCTTCTTTCAAAATGGGACAGAAAATAAAAAAAAAGAGGAGGATGGGCTTTCTCCCACATCAGTGCAATGAATACAAAGTGTGTGTCTTCAAATGAAATAAAAGCATTTGGCTTTCTTTACTACACTCCAGTACAGGCAGTTGGGGGAAAAAAAGACCTTGCTCTGGCTAGGAAAACATTCCCTCTTCAACAGTTTTTCCTAATCATGGAAGCAGAGTCACAAGAATTTGCAAGGGACAATGAAAATTGAGAAAATAGCTTGATTCCTCAGTTTATGAAAGTGAGCTGTCTCCCAATCACAGTCAATAGTTTTGTTGACTTCAGCAGCCCTGCTCTGAAGTCAGAACTCTTCCAAATCAAAGCTTAGAAGTCCTATTTCTAAGCACTCTACACACCAATTCTCAGTACCCACTGCAAGCAGGACTGACTAACTAATTATCGAGGTAAACTTTTCGTGAGCATAAAAAAAGAGTGTTCTGAACCTAAAACAACAATTAAATATTAGTGTAACAGCAATTATTTTGTCAAATCTGCTGGCTAAATGTAAGTTTTATAAATGAGCAATAAAGTGCCAAGAAATCCACATACATGCGTCTGCTGTGATAGTCTTCAGGTAAGGCTTACTGGCAAATAAAACTCTTCCCCCCGAAAAAAAAAAGAATGCTCCAGCTAATTTCTTGCTATGCATAGGTTTGAGCAGAAACAGTCATAAATGGCTTTCATAAATAGTGCATGTGTTCTTCTCATTTCTCAGATCTGGATCAGTAGGGCTGAGTCCAGCAGAAGGCTCCAAAACTGGACCAGAAGGCTCCAAGACTTGGTTAGAAGGCTGTGTTGGTGCTTGGGCAACCTCTTCGTTCTCCTCTTCCCTCTCTTCTTTAATTTCTAATTGCACACTCTCTTGTGACTGGTCATCAATACAGTCCTTTTTTGTTAACTGGTGAACAGATACTTTAATTGCAATCTTGAGTGGCGGTTCATGCAAAGAAGATGCATCTGAATCAGCCGTGATAGAGTTGCTACGCTTTAAGGGATTGCGGATCATGTACATCTCCTCGGTCTCAGTGGTCTCCTGTCCTTCCGCTGACTGCCTTACAAAATTGTGGCCCTGCTCCTCTAGCCCCACCACCTCCATGATTTCTTCCATGATTGTTCTGCAATTCATGATAAGTGGTGGCAGTGGGACACTCCTTGCTAGTTCCTCAATGTAGCGGGCGAACTCCATGGTCTTGAACTGTGTTACTTTAGCAAGCTCAAGTGTTTTTGCTGAAGTGATGATAGGGATACGTTTCGCGATCTCAAAAGCCTTCTGCAGTTTTTCGGCACCTTCTGTCCGAAAGAAGTCATTGATTGCTTTCTCAGTCTTTTTCAGGTGGCTGCTCATCATGCATAGCCTAGTAATGTTTAATATCAAAACAATGGTAAATGCTACAAGGCATACAATCATATAGTAGACCCCCATATCTCCAGAGGTGAAAACAACCCTAAGAGTGACTGTATTGTTCACTTGGCCATATATGTTAGAAGCAACACATGTATATTTTCCTCGATCCTCAAATGACACACTAGTAATGTTTAGTTGCCCGTTGTCAAGAATCCATTTCCCTGCAAGAAAGAAGGCAGAAACTATCAGTACCATGTATTTGTTGGTTCAGATGAAATAATGATGGAAAATTAATATAATTTTCTTTTAGGGGAATATATACCAGGCACCTTGCATTTTCTGCAAGCAAGTTGGAAAGCTGTTGGTGTGGTATTTTTTAAACAATCTCCAGGATAATACTGCAAACAACTGCACTATATAACCTCCATTTTAACTTTAAAACATGGCATGCATGAAGAACATGCCTTGTTTTAAAGGAGACCTGCACTTCTGGAAGCCTTTTAAAAAGCACTATATTCCCTTAAAATAATGTTTGAATTGCCTTGCTGCCTTTTTTTTGGTGGGGGGGGAGAAGGAGAAATATGACTGCTTCAAAATTATCTTGCTTTATTTTGGAGGTATATGGCAGTGCCACAATAGTGGTCATGAAGTCTTTATGGAGGGATTGGTTTCCAAATCCACAGAGTTGTTCATTATTGCTGTATCATCATAGAAACAAGTGAAGTCCACAAGTAAAACAGACTGGCCATTAACTGCCCTTAGCCAATATCCCAAACCACTCCCAGCAGGACCAGAACGGATTGTCAGATGTAGCTAGTTGTCAAACTAGTTGTGTTCCCAAGGCAATATCTAGAAATCAGTCTTGCTGAGTAAATGGTACATTCCAATGATAGCTTCAAACTCACCTTACCTGAAGGGAACTTGTGGTTAAAACACCAGTTTGTCTTGTGCAAATAAATAGCATTCAAGTGATTTGTAAACAAGATGAAAAATGTTCTAAATTAAGGAGGTCTGGGGAAAGTATCTGGCTGCAATCTAGCACAGAATTATGCAGGCTGTTGCCCAACTGGATCAACAAGCTTATGTGCACCATAAAAATTTTTTTTAAAGGCTTGGACTGGAGCCAACAATACTGAATCAGAGGAAGAAAGATCCTTAAATAGCTTCATCCAATTCAGTCAAAGTGTTTTTCTTCTGGTAAGGATTCTTGGGATGGGGGTGGGCTTCAAAACATTAGGTTCGTCAAATTCCAATCACAGTTTTTTTCCATCCGAGGTTAGGAAACACTGAACATTATGGTAAAGGCACCTCTATGCCTTTACTCACCCAGCCAGGCAACCCACAGGGCCTCTGGTATGTCAAAGTAAGGTACTTTGCAAAGGCATTGCCAATCCAAATTATAGGTCTTTTGAACACCAGAATTTGGAAGAATCCATCAGTACCATTTAAATTGTAGCAGACTCATTCAGAGTACAAAAGCCTGTGCTGTGTGCCTCCCACACTGCTTCTGAAATCCCACTTTCAACAGTTCAGCTTGTTCCTTCATTTGTACGGCAGAAATGTGTTTACATATCTTCTGTCTGAAGACACTGTTAGTTGTACAGAGAGCAATTACAGAAAATAACATGCTGCTAAGCCAGCCAGCTGCTTCTGGGAAGCTCACATGGAAGTGATGAAAGCAATAGTACTCTCCCACTGTTTTCTCCCAGCAGTGTCCCGTTTAGTGATACACTGCCTCTGAATGTGGAAGGGAGATGTAACAATTACGGCAGGGAGCAGTGAATACATGTATCTTCCAAAAGCAGGTTTGGCCCCCTTTCAAAGTGAATTAAATTAGGGGCCATCACCACATCTTGTGGCAGTGAGTTTCACAGTTCTGTGCTTTGGAAGAAAGACTTCTTTCTGTATGTCTTCAATCTGCTGCCAATTAATTTCATTTTATGACCCCGAGCTACAGTATGATGAGTGAGAATACCTTCCACTTCTTAAATAACCATCCTCGGCCTATTTTGTTGCCTTAAAAAAAAAAAAAAAACTAAGGTGCCCAACATATTGTAGCTTTCCCTTGAAAGCAAGTTACTCCAGTCCCCAATCATCCTGGCTGCTATTTTTTTCCCTAGCCCTACAGCAGCCTTTTAAAGGCCCATACAACATTAAATATGTGTCTCCATATCATGGACAACTATTATTTAGTTACAGGCAGTGACTGTCGTGGGATGGGAAATGGTTATTCAGGATCAAAGCTTTCTATTAAATGTCTCAAAACAACAAGCAACAACCCCGAAACCCTTTAAAAGTAATTTTTTAAAAAGTAACTAGGAGCTATTATTGATGACATCAATACAATAACTTTGGTCCTGACATTATGTTACTTTCCTTCTTTTTCTTTTTTCCTTAAACTACACATAAACATAAATATAAAATACATAAATGTTACTTCATTATCATTACAGTGGTGCCCTGCATAACGAGCGATTCGTTTAACGACGAATCCGCATAGCGACGCGTTTTTTGCGATCGCAAAAGCGATCGCATAACGATGTTTTAGATGGTAAAACATCGCTTTGCATTGATCGGTAAGCGTTTCGCTTACCGATTTTCGCATAGCGATGTTTTTTCTAATAGCTGATTGGCGGTTCCAAAATGGCCACCGGGTAAAGAAAATGGCCACCCGCAGTGTTTTCGTGCCCTTTCCTTGCTTACCGGGCAGTGAAAATGGCGGCCGCATGGAGGATTTCCGGATAACGGTGAGTTTTTTGCCCATAGGAACGCATTAAATGTGTTTTAATGCGTTCCTATGGGCTTTTTTGCCCCGCATAGCGACGAATCCGGATAGCGACAATTTTTTCAGAACGGATTATCGTTGCTATGCGCGGCACCACTGTATATTTTTAAAGCAACTCATTACAGGTAAATGTGCTACCCAGACTTATTTCCAATATCTAATCAGAATTGTGATTATGTTGGGGAGGATTTATTTATTTATTTATTTGATTTATATCCCGCCCATCTGGTCTGGTCAACCACTGTATCAAATCCTTTCCTGCCCCTTTCAATTCAGGCACAATATCTATGCTGCTGAATCTAAATTTTTTGCTAAGAAGGAAACCACTTTCACACACAATGTAGGAGACAACAAGCCATAGCAATAGACAAGACTCAACACTATGCTTGGGGTTTCAATTAAGTCGGGTCTGACTAGTCTCAGAATAGAAGCATTGACAGAAACTATACAGTATATCCACATCACTGGACATAATATTTGAACATGATATGTTCAAAGACTCACAAGGGCAAAGGGGTAGTTTCTTACATGTGGAAACACCAGCATTTTCTGAGGTCTCCACCTAAGTCAGAGGAAGGGATATTTTTACATGGCCAGAGGTCAGTAAAGAAGGAGAGGAGCAATTGCATGATGATAACCTTTGGAATGGATCTGTGTACCTCGAGATAAATTGCTACAAAATAACCTTACAATTATTCTGAAGTAAAGAAATGTAGCACAACTGTTGTGATAGTGCATTAATTCCATAATTATGTATCATGAACGAAAAATCTCTCAGAACTATACCTCTGTCCCCATTGTCTTTCACCAAATGGCCATTAGAGTTGTACCACTTGTATTCTGGCCCTGGATTTCCTTGAATGTTGCAATCAATCAAAGCACTGTAACCTTCTTTGACTATCACATGATCAATTCTGGAGGTGATGACAGGCACAGATCCGACAAACATGTTAGTGTGGTTTAAAGTTCTGTTAGTGAAACTTTCAGCAGTTGCCAAAGCTGCTAGTAAGATGATAGTCCAATAGTACAAAAGGAAGCAAGTGTTGAACATCTTCATCTGTTTTCCAGTATACTGCTGGGCGAAGGTAACACTGGATAAGGAGTTTTGTAATGTAATGTCCTGAAGAAACCACCTGTATTAAGCTTTATCCATAAAACTTCAAAATCCAAGATAATAAAATCCTGCAAAATAAAACAAGTTAAATCAGAAAACGTTGAGGAGCTGTATAGAAATGCAAGCAATGACTTTGTTCAACCCAATAACACTGCTTAAACTGCAACATATTATCTAGCAATAACATATTCATTCTGTATACTGGACACTGAAATGCCTTTTATTGAAGTTGATGCATATATATTTTCATTGCTGTCCTATTTTTTCTTTCTTTTTTTCATGTTTCTTCCCCCCCTTCTGTGTATGAATTTTATACAACAAAAATTAAATAGTAGTAATAGGCATTATATGACTCAATACTACTGTCCTCATTAACTCAATGTCAATGATGTAACAATTCCTGAAAACACACATTCTTTTTCCTGGTCAATGAAAAAGGAAATAATTAAATTTAAATTAACACAGTATTCTTCAAATTACTGAATTTGAATTCTTCAAATTCATTCCAATGCTGAAAAGGAGGTGGGGGTGGGAAATCCAATAAATGAAACAAATGCTTATTTTGCACTTTAAAAATAAATGGACAAGGAAAGTTGTCCTTTTACTGTTCATGTGGCTTGTTCTGTGAGACTCATTTGCAATGATATGAACAAAACAGAAATAAAAAGCAAGACTGATTCCTGTAAGGATAACATCCTTAACCAATCCCATTATGACAAAATTCCTGAACACATGCATAATTGTACCCTTCAGCTTTTCCTAAGAAGCTGAAGGAGAAAAAAAGCAATACTTAACACATGATGGAGTATATCTTAGGTCATCCCTGATCATTCAAGGCAGAATTCTGAAACATAATTTAACATACTATTTATCACAAGCTTTTAGTAGTCAATTATCCAGAGGTGGGAGGAAAGGTTTCTAATGGAGAAACAATTAAGGCTAGCGTTTCATTAGATCCACAACACAACTTGGTGAGTGTTCCATTAAATAAATGCAATGTAGTCAATATTATTAAAATCGGAACAAAAACTATCATTAGTTGCATAATTTCAGTTAATGCAGTTGACCTCATTCTTAAGAATCCAGCACAGTCCTTTCTTCTCTTAAGAAGAAAAGCAAGTGACCTGTTAATTGCATTAAAAAGGAACAATGAATCTCAATGCATGGCTGTGGGAATTAATAGTGATGGGGGCACAACACAGTACCAATTTGTATGGATCCAGTCTTTAGCAGGAAGCGGATAAAGGTAAAGGTTGTCCTTGACATTTAGTCCAGTCGTGTCCGACTCTAGGGTGCGCTGCTCATCTCTGTTTCCAAGCCATAGAGCGAGCGTTTTGTCCGAAGACAGTTTCCGTGGTCCCATGGCCAGCATGACTAGACATGGAACGGCATTACCTTCCCACTGAGGTGGTACCTATTTACTGTATCTACTTGCATTTACATGCTTTCGAACGGCTAGGCCGGCAGGAGCTGGGACAAGTGACGGGCAAAACCCGGAGCCGGAGTCCCATAGGCAGTTCGTGTCGTTCTGGCAACTCCTGCGACATCACTGGAACCAGTTGTACTGGCTCTTGCCTTTCCATTGGACTATTTCAGTGACGTGGAGAGGGGGGATTTGCTGCTTGGGTAACAGCCTATCCTCCATATTATTTTATATGTTATCTATACCTGGTCCTGCTGTAGGTCAAGCTAAATGAAAAATCATGAGTTAAAACTCCACTTACGATTTATAGCCATCTCATCCTGGTGGATGTCAGAGGCCAAGCCAGAATGACAGAACATGGTGAACAGATGGACTGACTGTTTGGGCACTGCAGAAATGCACCATAAATGGGATGTAATTTATCTGAGGAAGTGAGGACTAAAATAATACATGACTATGGCAGAGATTTACTTCCACTCCTGGGATTTTTAGATTGTATATTTCAAAGTCCCGAGTACCATTTCAAGCACATTTCAGTTTTATGTAAATTATGAATAATTATTTTTGCCAGCCACAAAACTTGGTTGCATTTTCCCCTTAGTCCCCAGTGCAATATAGTAGCTCACAGTTACTCTATTTTTCCGTGTATAAGACACCCTGATGTATAAGACAACACCCAGTTTTCTAACCCCAAATTAGAAAATTTGATTGATGCTTTCCCCACCACTTCCTAAGCCTGGGGCTTAGCAAAAGGAAAGGGGAAGGGACCAAAGCAATCCTGTGGCTGTACAAGGGGGAAAAGCATCAAAGCGATTGTGTAGCCCTTTGATTGCTGCTTTCCCCCTCCTTTCGCTAAGTTCTGTGGGGCTTAGGAAATGGAGGGGAAAACAGTGATCAAAGCTCAGCAAGATTGCTTTGATCCCTTCCCCCCTCTACTTGTTTTTGTTCTCTCCACTAAGACGACCCTAAATTTTTAGTCTAAAGATTTTAGACAAAAGTATCGTCTTATACACGGAAAATTCAGTACCTCTTTTTAAACTGTGATTCCCCTCTTAGTATTTATTGCCACCGACTGTAATGACAAAGTAGCCAATGCTTGAGTAAAAACCAAAACCAAAGCTCAAAACATCGGAAACTACACGTAAATGTTTTCCTTATGTCCAAGGCCAGAGCATGTGTCTGTGTATATGCGTATGTATGTACATACATGAAAATAAGTATAGTTGGTTGGATAACTCAGTGAATGGGAGTTCAATACCCCACTGTGCCTCCCAGAAGAGGCAGCCTGGCTTTGGGCAAGCTGCACAGTCCTAGGATGCCCCCAGAAGAAGGGAATGGTAAACATACAGTCAGAACCCCATATCTGCAGAGTTGATATCCGTGGTTTCAGTTGTTTGCAGTCACCACTGTTGCAACTAAGCTAACAGTACGCACGCCCACTTACTTCTCCTTGTCTCCCCTTCCCCTCCTCTCACTCCCTTTAATGGGTTCACTACCATCCACAGTTTCAGGCATCTGCTGGGGAGTTTTCAACCCATCCCCCATGGATATGGAGCTCCTATTATACTTCAGGCAGCTGAAGAGGGAATATAACTGAATGCATCACAATGCAATACCATTGTATGCCTATTGATGTAGAAGGGAGCCTCTCTATGTTTTGTATGACAAAGCAAGCATTGGATTGCAACCTTATAACATAATCCCATGGTTGTTTACTTTGATTAAGTCTCATTTTATTCTCCCATGGTGGATAAAGGCAGTCTTGGTTTTACTCCTCATTTTGTTCAATATGCAGCCTATAGCTGCAACTACTGGATACCTGCACTCAAGTCTCATTGAATTCATTGGCTCCCTTCCAACCACTGGTTGTCTGTATGCTTATGCAATTCACAGATGAACTCCCAGGTACTGAAGGTCAATTCATCACAGGAGAAAGTACTGTACATTCTCGTCATCATAATTTCTCAAGTACTGCTGGTGCTTTTAGGGCAGACCAAAGGGCCAAGCCTAAAAATTAGGAATCATGTCTTTTAAATTTGTGAGTGAGATGATACGTTTATAAAATCTCTGATTTTTGGAATTAGGGAAGCAAATTAGCAATTATAGGCAATTATTTTAAATTAGTAATGAAGAATTTTGGAATAACTCCAGTTGTCGAGACCAATTCAAATAAACTCTACTTCTTACTCAGTAGTCATATATGCTCCATTAATTTCACAGGGTCTACTCCAGCTGGCACTATCACCTGCTTTTAAAAAATGTTTATGCCATTTTTTTTCTGTTACAAAAGGCTACAAGTCAACTTACTGAAATAAAAATGGCTAAAACAAACCAATATACTAATTACCTAAAAAAAACTATTTATTTTTACTGAAGATAACATAGCAAAATATTCCCCTTTCTGGAGGACTGTCACTCCATTACTTTCTTTAGCAAACTGTATTCTTTTTTTCATTAAAGAAAACCCAATTTTCAGTCTGTTTCTGTGACCTTTCTCTCTAAATATCTCTTCCCCCACAACCTATCAATATATACAATGTTTAATTTTTTTGAAGCTCCTGCTGGCTAACCTATACTATGCATTCTCATTCTTATAACAAAGTGGCTGTTTTTCTCATTTTAAAGCTCTATTTCGGATCAATACTTCATTCCCTTCAACCTGGATTTCTACCAAACAAAATAGTGGATGGGACCAACCATACTCTTTCAAGATAAGCAAAATTTGTCTTTTCAATTTACAGTGGTGCCTCGCATAGCGAGGTTAATCCGTTCCGGATTAACCTTCGCTATAGCGAAACATCGCTAAACGGAATAAAAAAAGCCATAGAAACTCATTGAACTTCGTTCAATGCGTTCCTATGGCTTGAAAACTCACCGTTCAGCGATGTTTCTTCATAGCGCCGCCATTTTCGCGCCCTCGTTAAGCGAGGGCAGGGCGCGAAAATGCGGCGCGGACCTTCCGGCGGCCATTTTGGAACCGCCGATCAGCTGTTCTCCCCGGCTTCGTTATGCGAAGATCGCTAAGCGAATCGCTTAGCGATCTTCGCAAAGCGAAAAAACCCCATAGGGGCCATCGCTGAGCAAATGCTCCAGCGATGGCCCAGAGTGCCTCGTTAAGCGATTTCATCGCTCATCGAGGCACTCGTTAAGCGAGGCACCACTGTATATGATCTCTTTTAAACCTGTGCATATTTAGGATTGCCTGTTTCTGAATAGGGGGATGTAAAACAGTTTTATTTTTAAAATTGTAACTTGAAAACCCTTTGCCCATACTTCCCTAAATTTGGCCCAGAGGAAGAACAGACTGTCTGCTATAACTATGCCAATTTTGCTGCTGATCAGAAAAATAGATTAAAAGTTATTTTTTTGTTTGGGCTGTTCCCTCTTCTAGGATTGCCTTATATAATGTTGATTTGTCCTACCAGCACAAGGTTATTGCTGCTCTCTCGTGCAGCAATAATTTCTTGATGGAGATGCAAAAGCATAAATGATTCTCACATCTGCACCCCTGAATAATTTATGTAACATCTGAAGTGCCCTTTCAGTAAAATGTCAGCCCTTCCTTTCTTCTTTCCTTCTGTAAAAAAAGGAAGAATTGCTAACATTTCTTTAGTATAGAGGCATATTTTTTAAAACGAACATGGT